CATACATACATACATACATACATACATACACACATACACACATACATACAATCCATCCATCCATGCATCCATGCATGCATGCATGCATGCATGCATGCATGCATGCGCACATATACTGGCACATTAGGTCAGCCCAGGTTTTGGTAAAGTATTAGGCGCATAGTGTTTACATTTGTGTTATGGTATGTGATGGCATAGTCGAGCTCATCATAGTTCACCAGCACCCCTTAGGCCTTCACCCCAAAGACCAGAGCCGTAACTCCAATGCCCTGACCAGTCCACATTCCGAGGCGCGCATCGCAGAGATCAGTGACGAGATCGACCGCGTGCTGAGCCAGAGCGACTCGAAAGCACTGCATCAGAGTTTACAAGGCTGATAGATCTAGATCTAAGTTTAAATCTGGATCTAGATCTACAGGTATGTGTGTGTATATATATATGTATATATGTTTATTTATTTATTTATTTATTTATTTAACGTTCATGTATGTATATCGGAATGCGTGCGTGTGTGTGTGTGTGTATGTGTGTGTGTGTGTGTTTGTCTATATAGGGTTTTTTCAGACAACCCATTTATATACGCGGTCCCGTACTTCATCGGTTCAGTGAGCGCTTCGGCAAAAATTCTCCTGCAGGCAACGGCAAGATTCACAAGGCAGACAGCCTCCCGAAACTCCTTCAGGACAAGCCTCTTCGATGCAAGTTGTATGATCATGCACCATAGGGTTTAGGGGTTAGGGGTTTTGAGGGTTTAGGGTTTAGGGTGGCTAAACCCTAAACCCTAAACGAGTGTTTAGCGCTTCGGGCTTTGAAGGTGTATGCTGCTGTTGTTTGCAAGGGTCCGTTTCAGGCAAATCTTTACGAATCCGGGGTGCGCTTGGGCCAGCTTCTGCTGAGCTAGGTGTCCGAAATGGGACCCCCATCGGTGTTCAACAAATCCACATTTGAGCCGCTGTGTTTTTGCATCCGTCGCAGCGCCCTAAGGTAAGGGTCTATAGGGCTTGAGCGCTCGGGCCCAGAGCTCAGGGTTGAATGCCAAAGCGAAGTTTCGGATTCTATCGGTCTGGCTTCAAGAATGTTCCATCTCAGAGCGACCGTTGGCCGCCGACCCGAACTCCCGCTAAACTTTGAGCCAATCTCGAACTCACAGCCCGCAGATGCAGGCTGAGATTACACAATCGCTCCAGAGACCGCTTAGCAGCGCCCCCCCCCCCCCCCCCC